TGTTGAGCGTCGGAAAAAAATAGCACCTTTTAATAGGAAGAGAGGAAAACATACCATTAGTTAGAGCACTGTCGACGTCAAAAGAACGGTAGATGTTTTTCAAAGTAAAACTGTTTCACCTCCTCTGTTTACACATGCAGACGATGGAAAGCACATCGCTTGTGGTTTGGCTAATAAAAGTGTTCATATGATGAGACCTCCACCCTCAAGCAAGGAGACAGTGTTTACAGGTCAGAGAGTGCTGTTAAGTTTTTAACTACATGGCGATGCTTAATCTGAGTGAGTTCATGTCAAAGGATAGAGCTAAGGAAGGGCTGCTACCTGAAGAATTAAAAAATGATTTATATCTCGTTGTCGTTTTGTAATTAATGGTATAAGAGGATGACTGAAGCAAGGAAACAAGCGTCAACGAAATATGGCAACTTTTGCATTGATCCCGAATAAGTGGCTGTAAATACACGATATTCTTTAGTGTAGAATATTCGATTATTCTGTAGTCTCCATTTTTATTGGCTCTTCAAACGTTGTCTTTGTTTTAAGCTGAAAATTCTTTTACATTTGCCACATTGAAATGAGGCCAACAAAACTTTTGAATGAGTGACTTACTCTCTGAGATAGGGAAATACGAACGGGCTCAGAGATCGATCGATCGATCGATTGATTGATTGATTGATTGGTTTGTTGATTGATTGAGTTTGGTTGACTAACTGATTCATCGACTGATTGGTGGGCGAGGTTTGTGAAATGACTGATTGCACCGCCCTCCAGCAAGGCGAATTCCTTGTCAAAAACAGAATAACTGGTAAACTCTCCAACAAATGTGACTCGCACCATTCCTTTCTTTTCTCTGTTATAAGGACATGACGGATCAGTGACCAGTGTTAGCTTCAGTCATGACAGTCGCTGGCTTATGACGTCATCAAGTGACAAGACTGTCAAACTGTGGAGCTCCGCCCACTCGGATCCTGGGATGACATTTTCATCTGTCAATCATAACTTTGCATCAGAACTTACTAACTCTACAAATGTTAAGGTTTGCATACATGATAATTACCCATAAAGTATCAAAAGTCATATTTTGGCTCTGTCTTTGGTGTATTACCTGTTCTTTTCCTTTACAAATCTGACCGGCATGCTGAAATCAGACAAATCTTAAATGTTTCCTTTTTGTAGTCTTCTTTTGGCCCTCTAGCTCTCCCGCATTTTACACTAGCAATGGTTACAGTCCTGTCAAGTTATTAGTTGATAATCTCCTTGTCCTTTTCATCACAAGCTTCAAGCTTGCCCACTGTTCTTCTAGCTTATTTTTTCCTCGCCATTTCTAACCATTTTCAAGGCCTTCCCTGCCCCACCCCCCTAGACCAGGTATATGCTTCCACGCGCTCGAAACCGTCTTCAAATTTACTGAGGCTTTCACTTTGATGTGTATCTTGTTCATGCTTTTAGAGCAATTTTTCCCTTCGCTATTCATTGATCTAATGTTAATATCTTCCTCTTCGACAGGATAATCCTCCGTTTTCCAAGGAAATAACTCAAGCTAAATTTTACTATATTGACAAATTTGTCCTTCTGGCCAGTGGCAACGGCCTTCACATGTACAAGTACCACATTGGTACCGGGCAAAAAGATGACGTTAAAAGGTCTGGTCAGCGTATTGAGGCGTAAAACAGTATAGTGTTTGAAATCTGAATGCTGCTCACATTGCAGTTTTATTTGAACATTTTCTTTTTAGGATCTACACTAATAACACATTTTTGTATGCAGATATCAAACAAACAATAAATACAAGTTGGTGAAAATATTTCAGCAGGAAAGGGCTCAACAAATTACCTGTTTCTCTGCCATCAACGGATTTCACTCCTGTATCCTATTGTAATGTGAAACTTCAGTAAAAACTTCTAAGAAGTTCCATTCAGGTCCATTTACGAGTTCAAAGAGCTCTTTCACACCTCAGTGAACGACACTCAAAGGACACGCATGATTTCTTCGCGGCTTGACCGCCATTTGTATGCTTTTTGTCTCTCCTATTTCTTTAATTTGATTGCATCTTTTTTTTTTTTCCCAAAGTATATAATACTATAAAAGCATCAACCTTCTGTATCGCTCAAATCTTGCAGAAGGAAGTGTTTGATTTGATTTTTTTTTCTTTGCTTTTATTCAGAATCTTAAGCAGAATGGTGATTTACCAATTTGTTATAAAACTAAACCTTAGCTGCGTCACTAATGATTTCCTTGACCTACGCTCCAGATATAGTGTTGTGTTGTGGTTCCAACAAGTCAATCCAGGTTTTTGATATGAACGCGGCTCGCACTGTCCGAGTGGTCATGGATGCTCACACTCGCCCCGTACACACGATATGTCAGAATGAGGTAGGTCCTAAAGTCGGTATAATCGGTGACAAAATTGTTAACACATTGATCTTTTCAACCCCCTATTACTTCAGTTTGATCTCTTTTGCTCTCGTTAAGTTGATCTATTCGCCCTCTTTCCCCTAAAACAATGTTTCCTCGTGATTCCATTAACTTTTAGCCAACATTGAAGGGGGTAGGGGGTTGTTAATAAACAATTATTGCATTCAGTTTTTGTGATATCCGGAATAATGAAGGTCGAGGTAAGTGTTATCAGCCGAAGCCGAAGGCTGAGGCTGATAACACTAACCGAGACCTTGATTATTCCGGATATCACAAAAACCGAATCCAATAATTGTTTATAATGCGATAGAAACAGGACTGTTATTCTTCACATAAATGGAATTCTTCAAACGTGTCGTCAAACGTGATGTGTAATCTAACGTGATGTGTAATCTTACGTGACATGTAATCTAATTTTGACACTGATTGTAGGTTTGGTGACTAAGCTTTAGAGTTCATGTTTAATCTAACAGTGTGTCCTTATACTGAGAGTCCAATGCTTAAAATATAACTTCCCCTTCCCTCCTCTCCCCCTCCCCCCTGCCAAAAAAAGTGAAAATGTGGAGAGCGCTCTATACGCCTATTATCCCTTTTACGAATGCGTTTAACGTTTCCAAACAATCGCAGAAATCTCCCGTGGGATTCCCAAAACTTGAATCCCTAGAGAATCTCGCTGTCCTCAACAATTACTCACTTTTAATGCCTGTTTGTACAACATTGACGGATCTGTTTATTTGATTTCTGCTCCCCCTTTTGTGTGGATTTGATTTTAGGGTTCCATGTTTGTCTCGCACCCTCCAAACGCTTACGACCTGTTCTTGACAGCTGCGGTTACTGATGGAATCAAATTATGGGACTTGCGCACTAACAGGTGCGTTCGCCGGTATGATGGCCACGTGAACAGATCACAGCCAATCGGGGTGGCTATCAGTCCGTGTGCAAGATTCATTGCGACTGGTTCTGAGGACAGATCGGTATGAATCTGCGAAATTCTTTTTTGAAAAGAATATCTCTTTTTAATGATATTAAGAATGCATTACTGTCGCACCTTATTCAGTTTGCAATAGCGATCAGACAGTTACTCCTTTTCACTGTTTAGTAAGCTAGTCCCTTGCGGGTGAGCCGTTGTAACGTACCAGGTTTCCTTCCTAAGAGTAGAAAAGCTCCGTCTTGTCTAAAATCTAAATACAATTTAACCCGGCCGAGACTCGAACCCAAACCTCGTTATCCAGTGTCTAGCGCAGGAAATAGAAGAAAGCCGCCGATCTATAAAATGCGCTTATCGAATTACGCAATCTATTTACTCAACATGGGTAAGTCAAATGAAAGAAAAAAGCGAAAAATTATAATTTAATGCTTAGCTTGACGAGTATTTCAGTTTATTGTTTGAGCACGGTAATCACGGTTTGTTTTGGTATATGGTTCTTTTTTTCTTAATATTATTTCAGCTTGTTGTCGCTATTATTTTTCTTTTAATTTTCTTTTTGACAGAGAACTAAGGAAATTTCTTTCCGAGCAAACGTCAAATGCAAATTAAAATTGAAAAATGGCATAGTCACGATTGATTTCGATGCATTAGCAAAAATCAGCTGGCTAGAAGATCTAACCAAGAAAATAAAAGAGTATCAAAGGGAAACTTCAGAAGGCATAATGTTATGGTAATCGTATACCGTTTAGACGTTCATGTCCCGTGCTACTGCTTACGGACCACGTGAATCCCTTAAGATACCCTTGCGGTAATTATGTCGGAAATTTTGTTTATGTGCGAAAATGAAAACAACACTACAGATTAACAAATGGTAAACACCACAGCGTACACTATTGAGTTATGGATGCACGCGGGAGGTTGCTAAGTACGAAAGAAGCGTAAGAGTCGCGCGAGGCGATAGCCGAGAGCGACTTTAGCTTCTTGAGTGCTTAGCAAACCTCCCAAGTGCATCCATAACTCAATAGTGTACGCTGTGGTGTTTACCATTTGTT